TACCACTACTTCACCTTTTTATTGGACTGCATGCTAACATGAATAAAATGGTCCGACAACTTTTGGTAGGAAGCGGTTTACCGAGAACTTTTTGGTAGGTAGTGGTTTACTCCTTGAATGGGCTTAGGCGGTATAAATTTGAATTAGTCGAGCCAGTGACTCACGTAACCTGATGATGTCTAAAGCACAAAAGAAAAGTGATTTGAATGCAATATTAATCTTTAAGCAAAAGAACACTAGAGCTGCTCAAAGATTGACTCTCTTTTGGAAAGTAAAGATGAGCCATATTGCCATAACCTTAACAAGGAGTTAGATGCATGGTAAAATGAGAATGGCAAGCAAAATAGTGAAGATGGTAATGATTTTGTGGTTGAATAAACTAAAGGAAAGAAGAAATGGGAAAGGTACACAAGTAAAAGTGGAAGAAAAAGGCCAGGTTGATTTATAGTACTATATTAAGGCATATTTGTGTGTTGGGGGTAAAGCTCAAGAAAAGGAACTTTATATATACTACTCATTATATATACAAAGGTTGAAAATAACAGGACAGCAAAGGTCTAGGGTTTGGGTGGGGGGGTGAGCTAGAATCTTCTTTCTTTGTTTCTTTCTTTTATGAGGATCAAGAAGATATGAGGAACTGGTTTTTGATGTGACATGAAATCTTGAAATGGCAGTGAGCTGGTTAAAAGGGACTAGATAGAAAGATCTGCTGCAACATGGCCCCCTGAGCTTAAGCAGTACAACTGAAAGCCAAATATAGTCAGATTTTCATTTTCTCTGCTTCTGTTCTGTTATATATTTTCCCAGGTATAATTCTAATTGAATTTAAGTTGTATATATTGATTGTGTAAAAGAACTTCTACATTTTTACTTTTGTTGTATTTTATGCGATGTTGTTTGGCTGGAAACGGAGTTTAAAAAAGATAGAATTCTTTTAGGAAAGGGACTGAGAAATTAATTGAGTACAACACTTATCTTCAAGCTTTACCTTATTCTGATCATTAGAGGGCGATCGTGGGGTCACCGAATGAAGTCTTTTGTTTCTTTCGGAGTTGTTGGCCTGCAACGTGGTAGATAATAGCTTGTTTGGCCAAGCTTCTCAAAGGAAAAAATACTTTTTTTTCAAAATTGAAGTGTTTGACCAAGCTTTCAGAAGGAAAACAAAAAAGTATTTTTGAGTAGAAGCGGAAGCAGTTTTGAAAAGCAAAACAAAAGTAGCTTCTCCAACATCACTTTTTTGAAAAGCATTTTTCAGAAAAATACACTTAGAAGCACTTTTAAAAGCTTGATCAAACACTAATTGTTGCTTAGAAGCCTTTTTTCTAATTAATTAGTCAAACACAAACTGCTTCTCACGAAAAGCATTTTTAAGGAAAGCGCTTTTGAGAAAAAATACTTCTTAAAATAAGCTAATTTTAGAAGTTTGGTCAAACGGGCTATAAGTGACATAAGGAATAAGGTGGTGACGACATCATGTTGTATATATCGGCTAGAACAAGTTATTGACATTTGTGTGCATATAAATCATCTCATTAAAAGTAAAACGAGAAGCCTAAAGTTAAATTGATTTATACTATCTAAAAGGTTAACTCTTTTTGGGATAAACTAAAAGGGAAAGAGCATTACTAAGTAAATATCCATAATAATAAGAATTATCAATAAAAAATAAAGCATGTCATTCACTGTAAAAATTATTTATACTGTTAGTGGTTGTTTGGTAATATGGTGGAATATCTCATGGGATTACTTATCCTACCTTTTATGTGGAATAACTAACCACACCATTTTAGTATAAAAGTTATTTCAGGATTAGTTAATACCCCAAAACAAACATGGGATTAAGTGGGATTATTATTTTTATCCTATGTACCAAACCAACCCTTAAAACATACTCCCTCCTTTTTAAATTAGATGAACTACTCTCCTTTTTAGTCTGTTCCAAAATAAATGACACATTTCTAAATTTGAAAATAATTCAACTTTAACTTTTTATCTTACCCATTTTACCCTTAATGAGAAGATTTTATAAGCGCACAAATGTCATGGCCTTACAAAGCTTTTATCCCTTAAGCTTTTAAGACCACAAATTCTAAAAAATTTCTTTTTTTTCTTAAACTGCGTGGCGAATCAAACTAGCTCATCAAAATTGAAATGGAGGGAGTATAAACTAAAACTTCTCTAGTTTCATGTCTTTGGGATCAGTAGTCTAGTTTGAAAACAGGACTCTGGTTTTGTTTTCCTCTGGGTAAAATTTGGTTTTATGTTTCTGTAACACTAGTTAAGTTAACTCTGTAGTTTAAATTTAGTACACTGGTCTTGATTTTTTATTTTTTATTTTTTACTTTTTTTGGTTTACTAGCCCCAACCTTCAACCCCCATATACCCATTTCACCCTACTCCAAAGGAATCAATAATGATTTTCTTATTTATTTTTCTTGGATAACTCGAATTTATAATTTTTAGGTTGAAAATAAATGTGACTAGCATTTCTTTTGATTAAATGTCGGATGGAGGGGGGCTCTAGTAAGGTTTGATTTACTGATCCGTATTACAAAGCAGAATTAAATGCCTTTAAACTCTACCCACAATTGTCAGATACATCAAATTACACCAACACCAGAAATTTATTCAATCTCATATGATTCGCTAGAATTTTCAGAAATCGTCCCAAAGTTTTTAAGGTATATTGTACGCTCTCCTGCTGAATTATCACCCCGCTACAATTAATTTCAAACTAATAAAGACGAAAATCTAATCATGGTAATTCATCTTGATATGAACGTCCTAAATATCTTGCGCTCGTAAGCTGAAATAAAAATGTAAAGGTTTTAGGTTCTCGGAGACAATAGCGTACGCAAGATTTTGTTTCGGCCTTCTGTTATAATTAAGTGGACTAAGGTATGAGACTATTGTAATTCTAAGGCTTTACTTCATGTCCTAATTTAGTAGGAGTAGTTACTTTACATTTGCATTACTTCTTATCGTCGACCAAATGTAACAAAGCCATCGATCGATCTCTGCACAAATTGGTTGAGTTACGTACGTTGGAATAATTGATGATTGTACTCCAAAAATTCTTGACCACTCATGCTTCAACTAATTAGTAAGTACTAGTATACTACTACAATTATGTGTTCTTGTTTAGGATACCAGAAAGAGTCCAAATATGTACAAACTTTAATCTTAACTTCATACACTTTTTCTTTTTTGAACATATAATTAGTATTGAAATTAAACTCGCGTGACGTACGAATAATATAAAAGAATATTAAACATGTCAAGTTATAATTTGGCTTGTTTGAACAAATTAAATCATATTGCTTTAGTGCAGGTTGCTCTTTTTTTTTACTCTTGTGGTACAGCCCTTCCCCGGACCTCGCCCATAGCGGGAGCTTAGTACATCGGGCTGCCTTTTTTTATTGCTTTAACAAAATTTTAAGCGCCATCTTGTTTCCCAAGTCACTGGATCCAATAGTCATATCTTTATGAAATTAAAGAAAACGAATAATATAATCATCAAGCATCTTTTCAACTTCCTATTTTTATGTATTATATTAGTATCTACTATTTACTTTTACATTGCTATTTTTAATTTTTATTAGTTTGTCACTTAGCTATATATATATATTACTATTATATATCTTACTCATGAAATATTTCTTTTATCCTCAAACTTTTATTCTAATATTCATAATTCTTCAATTGTCCAAATATGACTTAACGTGATTCCTTTTCAATAAATATATTAGTAGGTCACTTAAAAGATAATGTTGGGTGTGCGAACAAAGTCGAACATTGGTAGCTGAAAAGATTGAGAGCCTACACTTAAGGAAGTGAAGGAATCTCTCAATTGTGTAAGGCATTTTGAGAAAAACCGTGCGGGCTTGGTTCAGAACGGACAATATCACACCATGTTAAGAGTATCTTTAAGCCGTTTTAGCCCAACAGATAACTACACATGATCGTTAACAAAAGTGAGATTAGTAACCTTAAAAATAGCCCAACAAATAACTACACATGATTGTTAACAAAAGTGAGATTAGTAACCGGAAAAATAAAAGAGAATACCTGTAATACACATATCTGTGCATGGAAATGTGTAAAAACACATATATGTGCTTGAAAGGGAATCTCTCCCTCTTTCTTTCTTCTTCTTTCTAAGGGACTACTGATATAATGCAGAAAAAGAGAGAAATATGAGATCTATGCTTTTTTTTGTTAGGAGAAGACAAGAAAAGAAATCAAGGGGGTGGTTGAACAGATTATTGATAGGTAGTACAAAACAAAAGTTCAATCAGTATCAGCAACCCAACCATCTTCCTCTTTTTATTATTTCACTTTTGAATCTAAGCTTTCCTTGTTACCCTTTTCTCATCAATCCTTTTGCTTCCCTCTTATTTTCTTTTTCTCAATCAAATCTTGTTACATGGTTCTAATATTGTGTTCTATAACTAAGAGACACATTCAAGATTTTTTTAGACGATGGTGTCTGAATCAACTTGCATGTATTTTCATTCTCGATTAGTCCATCGAGTAGTTGCTCATTTACACCAACACACATATCTCAGATAACTATGTCCTAAAAGCTGAGAATAATAATAAGGGGATACTAGGGACATCACTACAAGCAATTCACTTTTGAGCACTTCCCAGTAAATTTTGAGGTAACACAAGCTTTATGTTTCAAACAAAAGTTTTCTTCCTTTAATTCCTCAATGTGTCACTTTTGGCGTGACACTGTATAGTCGCTCTAAAAATAATAGTCGAAAATATATATTTTTCGTATATATATACATTTATGTATGTTATATACAATAGATATACAATTTTTATATGCTTTTGCTACTATCTGATGTAAATAATTTCGATCGCGGGCTAAAAGTGACATTTGCCAGAATTCATCAGTAAACAATATCCAACAACATATTATAACTAATGCACACTGCTGAACATTGAAGAATAAATACCACAACATCAAGAGACAACAATGAGAGGTGAAATAGAGGCAGAATCTTAAACTCAGTAGTATTATTTCCCATGATAAAAAGATATATGAACAAAACAAAATTGGTAATCTCAAGGAAGCCATAGCCTTTCTTAACCTATACACTTTTGCTATTACATTCTTATTGAATGAATTATGGATTCTCAGAAAGGTCTGCAGAAAAAGAGTACTAGAATATATTATTGACAACATATTTAACCAAAAAATTTCCAAAAACTTTGACTAGACTTCCATTGACTACCATTGAATACTGAGTAGTAAACCAGGGCAAAATTGATCATCTTCCATTATACCACATGTACTCCAGTTTGAACATTAATAGTTAAGGGCTTCCCTCTTCCCATAGTGAACCCTTTGGTTCCATCTGGCATTCTTGGTCCTTTTGTTGCCTGTTTTGTAGGTGCTTCAAATGGACCAGAGTTGCTGTTTTGTGGAGACGAGGCGAGCAGGCCGCGACCATTGAACATTTGATTTCGTTGTCGTGCTCTCACACGGCCTTTACCCCATGTTTTCTTTGTTGCTAAAGTCTCTTCGACCTAACAATAAGGGGATGAATCGAGAGAAATTTGAATTAGAGCTCGACATTTTAGCATGAACAAAGATGCATATTTTGGTATATGATTGTCAATAACAGGATATTGAATACTCCAAAACCAAAAATATCATATCAAAAGAGAAATAACCTTAGTCATGACCATACTTACATTGTTATCCACTATTTCTGACTGATTAGTGTGATTTGAGTCATCTGTCAGTTCAGAAGCTAACCAATCTTCATCATCAAAACAGCCATCAAATGCAGACTTCCTGCTCTTTAGAACAGACTTTGGCTGCAAATTTAACAACATTCTTAAGAAAAATATACCAAAAAATGAAACAGGAGCTTATAGAAGCGCAAATATGAATCAGAAGTAGTTAGAGGAGATGTTAAATGGTCACATTCATAGAAATCTTTGAGTAACATCGTTTTAATGATTTTAAGACTTGGTAATAAATCAAATATATTCGGATCAAATTAGTTGTCGTGAAAGGAAAAAACAAAATGTACTTAGTGGACTGTGATCTGAATGATATAGATTCAGACCTCTATTACGTGGAAACAAATTAAACGAGGTTGAAATTAGACTTACTGAACGTCTGAGCAACAACTTCACTCGTAGGCCTTTTCTCCAGTTCCTCTCATCATTTAGTTTCTCCGCCTGATTAGGTTAAGGTAAAGAATAGATTTAGATGATCCAAAGTAGTTTTAACTAAAACAATGAAGTTAAAGAAAAAGAAAACAACTTCAAAGGAAGCACAGAAATAATGACATACTGCTTTCTCAGCTGCTTCTGGATGCTCGAACTCGATCAGTGCATGGAGCTTTCGATCAAAAAGCAATAAGAAAGTAAAACAGAAGGAATTAGATCCCGATATAAAGAGGCAATATCAGCTTTTTGAAACACAGAACAATAACAGTTTTGTACTGAATACCTTGCTGCTGATGCCCAAGTCTCCTCTAGTTCGTGTGTTAGGATCTTGAGGATGGCATACTCGGATGGTTTTGACACTTACAATAAGAACCATAATATGTGAGCTGGAAACAAATAAATGTAGCAGAGATAAAATGTGTCGATAAGATTCAAGAATATCACCTTCCTGCAACATTAAATATTTTTTCAATGTTGTGATGAGAGTGATCATCTGGTAAATTTTCAGCCACCACAGTGCGCAACTGAAAGGAAGCAAATCAAAAAGAGTAGTAGTATTAGTACTACAAACATATCAAAACCATAGATCAATATATATATATATATATGAAAATAAGTATATATACCATCAATTCCTCTTTATCCTTGTCAGTAAATGGGATTTTTCGTTTGACCTTCTTGCCATCATCGCTTACAATCTACGATCAAGTATATATAGAAAATCTTAGTTGTCAATAGATATTCAATAAGGAAATTAAACACAGCAACTAAAATTTAAAACTTACCAGCTTTGTAGAGGAAAGGAGGGCATGAGAAAGAGTTAATTGATTGTTTGTGATGAGGGACTTGATTTTCTTTGTAGCCGAAACAGAAGAAATGGGAACTGTACATAGAAATTAAACATATTTCTCAAGAATTTGACAAACTGATGAATTGAAAATCTGTAGACTATTTCTTTAACTATGTATCAATAGTACTTACCAAAGCCTTTAGGGTCCTTATTCATTTGTTTCAACAAGCCCTCATTTGCGAGCAAGCTCATGTCACTGAGTTGGTATTCAACCTATCAAACATATAAACTATCACATTTTAGATACAGATCCCCAAAATGTAGTAAAAAGGAAATAAAGCTTGCAGTGATAAACCATGCTAGAAAATATTAAAGCAGAATGTTACTATTCTTATAGCAGTGTGTTTATGAAGAGTTATGTAACAGAACAAAATCTGCAGTTGTATTTTTGAGATTTAGGCTCTTATTACATACGTAAACATTCCTCATTTAGCGATTAATTGTCAAGCCATAGCGAACAAGTAAAGAAGGAATGACGGGACGAAGTTGCTCAGGCTGGAACTCCCTTTGTGCTTTAAATAGATTCCATTACATGTGTTTTCATACTTCTTTTGAGCTCCCTTTTCTCCCCATATCAAATACTAGTTAAAATCCATATTTGTTATCATACCCTTATTTTTCTATTTTATCAAAGCGCCCATCTGAATCAGACATGTTGATCAATATTAAAAATGACCGGTCAATAAGGACATAAATTGGAATACAATCAAACCTCTCTATAACAGTCTCGTTTGTTTCGACATTTCTTGGCCGCTATAGTGAAGTGTTGTTATAGAGGACAAATATTATAATATAACATAAAAATCGTTTCCAAGAAAAACTTGGCTTTTATAGTGAATGTCTGTTATATGAGGATGCTATTATAGAGATGTCTGGTTGTATAAAGAATGATAACCGGTGACCAGAACTCAATGGCAATTTGATCCATACACCATTAAAAGGGAAAACAAAGAACGTTAACACGATCAAATTGTTGAAAGCTTAATCTCTTAATGACATGGTCACACACTTCAACATGGTATCGAAGCATACAAGAGGTCTTAGATTCAAATCTCACTATCTATTTGGTGCATGAAAAAAAATGCTCACATGCGTTCGAGACATAATAAAATTAAGTATAGATGAGATAGTCACGAACTTTACACAAAATGAAAAGAATTCAACTCAACAAAAGAAAAAAGCAAAGAGAAAAGAAGAAAAGGTGACCTGTTTGATGACTTTTAGCCTGAGCTCTTCAGGAAGGATATCTTTCTGAGACAAAGTTGAAACAAAACTTGGTTCTTGAACAAAGGAGATAGTTTCTTGATCACCCCCATATATCCAATCATTAGTAGTAGTTGTTGTTGTTGTATTAACATACTGGAAATAAGGATAAATATATCCTGAAATGGGGATTGTGGCATGTGATTTCGGCACAAATTCGGGGGCTTGAACATTGAACTTGAAAGATCCACCATTAGCATTGTAGACAGCAGCATTGATCTGCTGCTTATTATTATTATTATTATTATTATTATTATTATTATTCTTGGCCAGCTTCTTGTTATAATCAACTTTAGCAACAAATTTTTCTGGAGTAGATTCTTGGACACTAGAAGCAACTTTTTCAGGTTGCATTTGTGCCATTATTATAAATAAAAAATGGGGTGATGATCAATTCAACTCCTTGTATTCTGCCTCTTTCTTGTTTTTTTTTTTTTTTATATTTTATTTTATTCCCCTAATTACAAGTCAATGTTCTTTTGAACATGCACACAACATTTGTGTTATTATTTCATACCTTTGTGTTTTTTGGAGTTCTTTCTCACTCTCTGTCCTCTGATTTTTTCTAATGGTAGAGCGAAGGAAGTTGCTTAAGTCACTCCTAAAGTTAAGTAATAAACAGTATTTGTAAAGGTTGAGATTGAAAAGAGTGAAATGAATGGTTTACTGCATTCCGTGTACCAAACTAGTTTAGTTATATACACCTCATGTCTTTTGGAATTTTGACCAACTAGTCATAGGAATACACTAAAATATTGAAAATATAAGAGTTGCCTCGTAATTTTGTAATACATTTATGGGAAAATGAAAGATTAAATTGGGTATTAAAATGCATTCAATATTATAGGGATATTTTGATCTGTCAATATTTTACTTGTGGTCTTCATGTATTATAAATTAAATGTAGATAGATAGGTAAATATACATAGCTTATTTTGTTTAGAAAATGACAGAATTAAGAATACTATAGTCAAATGTTTACTGAAGTGTGGAGAAATGTTTCGATTTTTAAAAAATAGTTATTTGGTTCTCCGATTATTAGTAGTCTTGTACAAATAAGAGAAAGCCAGTATTATTTAACCAAAAAAAAAAAGTATTATTATTTTAACATTTGCTATTTAGGCAACCTTTAACCAAGACTGTGTTGGATTTACTGTTTATTTTTCTAGCTGGTATACATAGACTATACATTAATAATATAATGTTATACACATATTATATATCATTCAGTTGTTTTTTGTTTAAACAGTTAAGTGGACGATCATTTAGGTAAATTCTTCAAATTTTAATACTCGATTTTGGGCTTTGAGGTTAAACTTCGACTTTGCTTTATTCCATCCAAATTCTTGGTAAAAACTGCACGGGGCGTCCTATTTGGTCGCCCCCATTTAACCTATACCCATTTTTTTTAAAGTTTTAACTTTTATCCACTTTTTAAACAACTTCAGCCCCCTTTCTCCTCCTTCGTTTTCTCCTTCTTCTTCTTCTTCTTCTTCTTCTTCTTCTTGCTGTTGGTGCTGCTATGAAACTTCAGTTCATGGGGATGATTGCCATAAGTATGTTTATCAGATTATTTAAAAATAAATTATAAATAACATTCTAAAGTAAGTTTTGAAGAAGATGATAGTAACTTAATGACTCTGTAAGAACTTGCATAAGGCATGTAAATGTAAGTCCATTTCCTTTAATTCACATTCTATTATTTTATTTTATTTTGGATTCAGCTTTGTACATTATCAATGCATTAACCTGTTGTGCTATCTAGTTTTTTAAGTTACTAATTCTACTTATGATAAACTTATTAACTGTACAAAAAATCAATTACATAATAGCATAAAACATGCTGAAGTTAAGTAAATATAGAACACTTCAGCTAAAACATGCTGAAGTTCAATAGAGAACAAAACTCCAACTACTAGAATGCTTAATTTCAGCAATTACAAACAAAAACTTCAGCAAATAGAGAACAAAAACTTCAGCTACTAGAATGATAAAGTTCAGCAATTACAAACAAAAACTTCAGCAAATAGAGAACAAAATTTCAGCTAGTAAAATGCTAAAGTTCAGCAATTACAAACAAAAACTTCAGCACACTTGGTTCAGCAATTTTTGCTACTTCAGGCTCGTCTACTAGAATGCTGAAGTTTGCGTGATTGCCTTTGCTACTTCAGGCCCGTATGTCTGAAGTTATAGATGCAAATGTCCCAAATTCTTGGCTTGCAATTTCAAAATCATCTATACATTTAGAGAAAATAACAAAGTAGCAGACTCTTTAACAAACTTCAGTTGTGAATCTCTATTTGACTATATGTTTTCCTTTATGATTGCAACAACAACAACAATAACAACCCAGCATAATTTCACAAGTGGGGTCTAGGAATGGTAGTGTGTACGCACCCCTACCTTGTAAAGGTAGAAAGGTTATACCCGAAAGACCCTCTATGACTGATCTTCTTTAATTAATTTAGGTTTTTTCTCTAAAAAAACTGGGCTCGTTGAATATCGTGTTGGTTAGGGCTTTGCGCCTATTAATGGGAGACCTTCTTTACCGGGTTGGGTACTTCTCGGGCTAGCTCTTTCATGAAATGGGCTCATTGTTGCAAATTCACCTTTAATAAACAAGTTTGTTATCTTGCAAGTTCCTTTTGTTTGAGCCCAAAATGCTATGGCTACATTTGTCATCCTAGCCTTTCAAAAACTTAGTAGTGAGTGACTGTTGAGTTCTTTAAATGGATTCTTTCATAACTAACCACCTGCCAAAAAATATTATGTTTGGGTATTCCATTACAATATTTGCAAACCAACATCAAAAAATAATTACACCATATAGTCAAAAAATTTAAAAAAAAAAAAAAAAAAAAAACTCAACTTATACTTACAACATGATATAACTTTTTTAATACTTGATTGCAATTTTTCACACCATGGGTCTTGGGTTACATTTATTGGTATTTGATTAAACAAATTATATAATATGATCTGACTTTTAGTGAAGACGATAATGCGGTGACTATAACCGCCATTGTACTCTTGAAGTTGAAACTATAAATTATTAATTTATAATTTTTAAGAAAGTCTTAAAAAAAAAATATCATACCCTATCTCTCTAAATTTATGATTAAACTTAAACAATGTCTTAGTCTGAAATATGGACATTGTGGCTGTGAATTAATCCTTACAAAATGGAGTAACAAATTCAACATAGTTTTTCTCAAATTGCCATAGTTTGGTATCGAAACCATCAACGTATTACGAATAAAAATTGAATTCAAATTAATTGTTTGGAGGACTTGTTCGACCAAAAAGATTTATACCCCTTGTCAAACTAATTAAATAAGAAGATTTTAGGTAAATCTTAGCCAAAGATAATTTACCCCAGATCTAAGATAGAAGATAAGAATGAACAAACATAAATTGTTCGACCAAAAAGATTTATACTCCTTGTCAAACTAATTAAATAAGAAGATTTTAGGTAAATCCTAGCAAAAGATAATTTACCCTAGATCTAAGATAGAAGATAAGAATGAACAAACATAGCAGAGCATAAGATTTAACTATGACCATGGTTATGGTGATTGTTATTACATTGAATAATAGTGAAGAATATATAGATAAAAAGGGTCACCGATTCTTAACAACGTTGAACCCCCCATGCTTGATATGATGAGATTAATGAGATATATTGAGGATCTGAGCTTCCTTGTTTCTTTCTCCTTCGTGGGTAGAGAGAGAGATCCAGATCCCTTTCCTTTTCCTATAATATATCTATGTGAGAATTTGTTTTAGCCCCCATTCTCCTTCTTCTCACTTAGTTTATATACTAGGTATTCTCTTTTACCCAATGGTCATTAACCATAGTACCTGAGTCATTTGACTGTATTACTGGTTGACCCTGCAAAATGCAGTAACATCCCATTTGCCGTTCAAGCATTCTTAATACACGACCTCGGCCATGGCCGAGGTGCATGTCATTATAACATTGTATGGATACGACTTCGGCCCAAGTGACTTTTTGCCGTTTCTCTCTACGCAGATTCTCATCTGGTCAGATTTTGACCCATACAGTTAGTCCCTCCGCCTATTGGGGTCGCCTTTCGGTGAGCTCGATAGGCGGATTCTGTCGATTCAAAAGTTAAGAGAAACCTGAGCGCTTTACGCAGAGACGAGCACCTCGTGGCGAGGTAGCGACGTGACGTTTCAAGAGCTGCGTCAGACCATCACGTCAGTTCAGAATTGTCATTAGTACTTCTCATGTGTCATTATGGCGCACGTTTTCTATGCATTGCTTCGTTTCCCGTGCCTTTTCCATTTTTAAAATGTCAGCGTTTGGTTTTTCGCTCAGGGTATTTATATCCCTATAAATTGGGGAAAACCTTTCATTTGAATATTACACTTCTTAATCGCTCAAGAGAGATTTTTGAAACTCTTCTTCTTCTCCTTCAGTTTCTCATATTTCTGTTTCTGTTAAAAATTCTTGTGACAGCTACGTTTTTCCCTTATCATTCATGTTTCTCTCAATCATAAGAAGAGATGACTAGTGCACCTTCAAACCCTGATAGAGCCGTTGGTGCTCCGGTGTCGGAAAATGATGTACCCCTAATCGAAGAGGAAGTGGGTCCGGTGGAGGATGAGAGTTTTCCGACGGTAGATGAGGTGGTTCCCCGTCCAGGGAAGGCGAGGACTGATTTCAACAGCCTTGCTGGGGATGAGCCGGAACCTGTTCTCTCGACGATGGATGTTGCGGTGCTCACGGCATTCAAAGCCAAATGGGGGATTCCCGATCACATTGAACTAGTTCCGGCGGGTCGGGACATAGTGCATATACACCGCCAGGGCTACTACGCTTCTACGCATATCCATTTGTCATTGGATACACGCTTCCCCTTCCCACGTTGGCGGTGGACTTCTGCCGCTTCTACGAGGTGTGTCCGGCTCAACTCTCTCCGTACGTATACAAGCTCTTCCTTATGCTTAGCAAGTAGCGGAGCTAGCCGATCGGGGAATTTCTCTACAACACATGCTTCACCTCTTCGCCCCTCATTTTCTTAGGGGCACGATGATTCACCTGCGCCACCGAGGAACCAAGGGTTTGGTGGTGAAGATGGATGACAAGGCCAACCTCCGCTTTTGGGAGAACTTCTTCTACGTCCGAACAGAGCACGTGGTGTCGAACCTTGCAGGGTTTCCCGAGGCGTGGAATTTCGCCCGTAAGTCTCCCTTTCCTTTTATTATATTACATTTTTTGAACGTGGTTGTCGGTCGTCTTTCTTTAGTGACCGTAGAATGTCTTTTGTTTATGCAGCCGAAAGGGTGCCTCCCCCGCAAGTTGCCAATATTCGCAAATCGGTGAGCGCGATTCTGCCCCACACGATGGGGATCCGCGAATGAGCGCCTTTTTATGATTGGGCACAAACCTCCCACTGGTAAGTCGGCTTATTTCGGCCTTAATTATCTTGTTCTTGCTCTGCCTTTTTCTTTATCTCAATATTTTTATTTGGTCGAATCTCTCATTGA